AAAAGGAATCCGCTCTTGGGACATCGACCTCTCCTCCTGCAACCTGGACGAGCAGCTGAAGCTCTTCGTGTCCCGTCACTCGGCCACTTTCTCCAGCATCGTGAAAGGTAAAAAACACAAAAAAAAGGGGGATGACCCCCCCACGGTGGTGTTGGGAGACCCCCCCTCACCCCAAATCCAACCAGGGGGGCGGCGGGGAGGGAGGGATGGTGCGAGTCGCTCCCCACCGTCCCCTCTCCCTGCTGCCCCTCCAGCTTTTTGGGGAACAATCTTTGCTTTGTTGCCCCCCCGGCAACGACCAAACCCCGTGTTTTTACCCCCCCCCCACGTGACAAAACCGCTTCCTTCCCCCATCCCCGGGGCGGGATGTGGTTTTCCATGGAAAGAAGGGAAAGGAAAAGATGGAGTCAGGAATTCCAGGGTCCCTCCGGTGGCTTCTTTCCCCACCGTGTGTGTCCCCCCTCCATCCTCAGCTGCGGAACCTCATCACGGACGTGTCGCAGCACAAGCTGCTGGTGTTCGCGGGGCCCTGCGTGGAGGAGACGGGGGAGCTGATGCTGCAGACGGGCTGCTTCTCCCTCCGGGATTTCATCCAGATCTTCACGGATAAAGAGGTGCGGGTGCCCGGGGAAGGGGTTGGGGAGCGTGTGTGTGTGTGTGGGGGGGTGAAACTCATCTGGGGGACCCCCGGGAAGGAGCCGCCAGCTCCCGGTGCGCGGGGAGGGGCCGGTGCTGCCGGAGTGAGTGTCTGCTCACGTTCTCCGGCGTCGCGGCTGGCTCAGCCGTCTGCTCTGCTGGCAGCCCTGCTGGCATGTCCCTCCCACCATGGGGCTAGGAGGGGGGGCCTCCCCAGCAGCTTGGGGGCCCCCCCAGGCTTCACGTCACCATGTAGGGGGCTTGGGATGGGGTTCTGGGACCCCCCGGGGAAGGGGTGCCCTGTGTTTGCCAAGGGAGGGGGGGTTGTGGCAACCCCCAGGGCTGCCACGTCTCTGTCCCTGGGTGCCCCCTCCCGCCTGAAGCTCTGGCTGTCCCCGTCCCCTGGCAGGTCGGGGAGATCCTGAGCTCTGCAGACCCCTCGGCCAAGGCCAGGCTGACCATCAGCTGCCCCGACTTCGGGGAGTGGAAGGACTCGGGTTTGGACCATCACAACCTCCAGGATTTCATCGAGCTGCGCTACAACCCGGGCTGCATCCTGCCCGAGATGGAGGGGCTGGAGGAGTTCATGGAGTACCTCTCGGAGTCGCTGGAGCCCCAATCCCCCTTTGACCTCCTCGAACCCCCCACCATGGTGGGTTTCCTCAAGCTCTCCAAGCCCTGCTGCTATATCTTCCCGGGCGGGAGAGGGGACTCGGCTTTTTTTGCCGTCAACGGTTTCAACGTCTTGGTGAACGGAGGTTCCAACCCTAAATCCTCCTTCTGGAAGCTGGTCCGGCACCTGGACCGCATCGACTCCATCCTGGTGACACACGCGGGCACGGACAGCCTGCCCGGTGTCAACAGCCTCCTCCAGAGGAAACTGGCCGAGCTGGAGGAGGATCCATCCCAGAGCTCGCAGGGCAACGGGGACTGGGCCAAGAACCTCATCTCCCCGGAGCTGGGCGTCGTCTTCCTCAACGTCTCCGAGAAGCTGAAGGACATCGAAGGGAACTCTCGGGTGCTGAAGAGCTGCGACGAGGCTGCCCTCACCCTGCACTACCTGGAGAAGCTGGGCATCCGTCCCAACCCGCTGGCCCGGGACAACGGACCCCGCGCGGAGCCCACCGTCCTCTTCCAGAAGATGGGAGTGGGCCGGTTGGACATGTACATCCTCAACCCCGTGAAGGGCACCAAGGAGCTGGACTTTCTCCTGCAGCAATGGTCTGGCAACAGGTACCCCAAGGAGCAGGACTTGCCCCTGCAGTGCCTGACCTCCATCTGTGCCCTGCTGGTCTGGCACCCCGTCAGCCCCTCCGAGAAGATCATCCGGGTCCTCTTCCCCGGCTGCACCCCCCAGAGCCGCATCCTGGAGGGCCTGGAGAAGGTGAAGCACCTGGAGTTCCTCAAGCATCCCGTGGTCACCAAGAACGACTTGAAGGGGTCGTCGGTGCCCCAAGCTGAGAAGCCCCTCAAGCAGAAGAGGGCAGAGAGCAAGGAGAGCCTGAAGTCAGGTTCCAAGCTCAGCTTGGTGGACGCTGGGGCACCGGCGCCGAAGGAGAAGACTCCATCAAAGGTGGAGAGGAAGGAGGTGAAGGCAGGGACCAAGGAGAAGCCAAAACCCCTGGGGGAGACAGCCAAAGTGGGGTCAGAAGAGGAGAAAGCCAAGGATGCTCGGGCCAAGCTGGACTCTTCGATGGAGAAGCTGAAGGTGGATGCGAAGCCGAAGGTGAACAAGGAGAAGGTGGTGCCCAAGAAGGAGCCCGTCCCCCGGAAAGAGGAGAAGAAGCTGCCAAAGAAGGACGAGGGGGCCGAGGCGAAGGGGGAGGCCAAGAAGGAGGTGAAGGTGGTGAAGAAGGAGGTGAAGGCTGAGACGCTGCGGAAGGACTCCAAGGAGAGCAAGGTGGAGGCCAAGGCTCCTGCCAAGACCTCGGCCCGGAAAACGCCGGTCCCGGAGCCCCGCAAAGCCCTGGCCAAGGCCGGCAGCATCAAGAAACCCCCCCTCAAGAAGGAGCCGGAGAAACCCAAGGCCAAAACCCCCCGGGAGGCGGGTGGGAGGAAGGAGCCAGGGACATCAGATGGCTCCAAGTCCTCCTCCCCCGAGGACATGCTGCCGGAGGCCGAGCGGGGCCGGGGGGGCGCCTCGCCGGGGGCCGGCGGGAGGAGGAGGAAGGAGGAATCGACGGACGAAGGCATCACCACGGCCGAGAGCGAGCTGGAGCCCTCTCCTCTGGAGAACGGGCGGGCTGGGGGGGCGGGGGACACATCCTGCCTGGAGAACGGGCTGGAGGACCCCGAGAGCCCCCAGCGTGTCCGTTACCTGGAGAACAGCCCTTTGAGAGCCGTCTGCCCCCCCTCGCCCTTGGCCAAGACCCCCAAGAGTGACCGCAGCGTCAACTTCGACCTGACCCCCACCGGGGTGCTCAACCACGGCCCCGAGGGTGCTGAGGACGCCTGTGGCAGCTCCGAGGAGAAGACCTTGGAGATGATGTCTCCAGCCAGCTCGGGGCCGGCCAGCGCCGGGCACACTCCCTTCCACCAGTCCCCAGTGGACAACGGCATGGAGGAACCGGGCACCAACCGACAGCCCAACTCCTGGCCACCAACCGGGGGCAAGGCCTCGCAGGACGGGTCCAGCTCCTCGCAGGAGAAGCAGGCGGGCTGCCTCTCCCTCAGCCCCTTCAAGGATGATGTCCCCGATGTGTCCCCCACCATCACCACCCCCTCGCTGCCGGCCGAGGTGGGTTCTCCACACTCCACCGAGGTGGACGAGTCGCTCTCGGTCTCCTTCGAGCAGGTCCTGCCACCCGTCAGCGAGTCCCCACCGGAGGAGGGCAGGCGGTCCCGGGGGACGACCGGGGGGACTCCGGAGCCGGAGGCCACCAAGGGTGGGTTGTCGTTGCCGCTGCGGCCGTGCCACCACGCGCCGCGGGCCGACGGTGACGCCGTGACACGGCCCGGCCGCCGCTCCGACTCGCCCCACGACGTGGACCTCTGCTTGGTGTCACCCTGCGAGTTCGAGCACCCCAAATCGGAGCGGTCCCCCTCGGCCGCCGCCAGCCCCCGGGACCTGTCGGACAGTGACCCATCATCCCAGGAGCTGGTGCGGGGCCGGCCCCGCCAACCGGCGGGCGAGACCCCCCCCACCTCCGTCAGCGAGTCGCTGCCCACCCTCTCCGACTCCGACGTCCCTCCGGCCACCGAGGACTGTCCCTCCATCCTGGCCGACGGGATGGAGTCGGACGAGGACTCAGAGCAGCCCACCCGTGCCATGGCCAGAGCCCGCGACCCCTTGCCGGCCCCCATGAAGGACCCCCACCCCATCCCTGCCCAGCCTGGCATCTGCATGGTGGACCCCGAGGCTCTGCCGACGGAGCCGACCCGCTCTGGCAAGAAGGAGCCCACCACCAAGGTGAAGAGGACCCTGTCCCGCGCGGGCACGGCACCCACCAAGGCTGAACCCCCCCGGAACCCCACTTTGACCCCCAAAGGCAGGGGAACCACCAGCTCGGCTGGGGACAAGGCCAGGTTGCCCCCCGGGGACAAGAAAGGCCCCTCCGTTGGGGACACCCGTGGCCCAGGGACCACCCGTGGCGCTGGAGCCCGGCCACCGACGGGAGCTGGTCGGGCATCACCGGCAGGTACGGGGCTGGGAGAGGGGGGGGACACATGGGGGGGTCCCAGCTTCGGTGTCCACATACCGGAGCAGCCCTGCCATGGGGTTTGGGAGGGGGTTTGGGGGGGCTGCTCACGGCGCCATACCCCTTTTCCCAGCAGGCACGAAGGCTGCGGCCCCCCCGGGCCCCCCCGTCTACGTGGACCTGGCGTATCTTCCCGGTTCCTGGAGCGCCCGGACGGTGGACGAGGAGTTTTTCCGCCGCGTCCGTTCCCTCTGCTACGTGGTGAGCGGCGACGACCACCTGAAGGAGGGTGTCCTGAGGGCCCTCCTCGACGCCCTCCTCGCTGGCAAGCACCAGTGGGGCACCGACATCCAGGTGAGACCCCCCCCCGCCCCCCCAGGAACCCAGAGGGGTGGGATCAGCCCCCCTTTTCCTGGTGCTGTCCCCCCAGGAACCCAGAGAGGTGGGATCAGCCCCCCTTTCATGGTGCTGGAGGGGGTGACGTTGGGCTGATGGGTGGCCCCCCCAGGAACCCAGAGGGGTGGGATCAGCCCCCCTTTTCCTGGTGCTGTCCCCCCAGGAACCCAGAGAGGTGGGATCAGCCCCCCTTTCATGGTGCTGGAGGGGGTGACGTTGGGCTGATGGGTGGCCCCCCCAGGAACCCAGAGGGGTGGGATCAGCCCCTCTTTTCCTTGTGCTGGAGGGGGTGACGTTGATGGGTGTCCCCCCCAGGAACCCAGAGGGGTGGGATCAGCCCCCCTTTTGTGGTGCTGGAGGGGGTGATGTGGGGCTGATGGATGCCCCCCCAGGAACCCAGAGAGGTGGAATCAGCCCCCCTTTTGTGGTGCTGGAGGGGGTGACATTGATGGGTGTCCCCCCCAGGAACCCAGAGGGGTGGGATCAGCCCCCCTTTTCCTGGTGCTGGAGGGGGTGATGTGGGGCTGATGGGTGTCCCCCCCCAGGAACCCAGAGGGGTGGGATCAGCCCTCTTTTCCTTGTGCTGGAGGGGGTGATGTGGGGCTGATGGGTGTCCCCCCCCACCCCGTAGGTGACTTTGATCCCCACCTTCGACTCGCTGGTGATGCACGAGTGGTACCAGGAGACCCACGACCGGCAGCAGGAGCTGGGCATCACCGTGCTGGGCAGCAACAGCACCGTGGCCATGCAGGATGAGACCTTCCCCGCCTGCAAGGTGGAGTTCTGAGGGGGGTGTGGGCTTCGTCCCCACCATCCTCCTCCTCACCATCCTCCTCCTCCTCTTTGAGCCCCCCCCTTTTCCCTCCTCTGCACCCATTAACTCGGGGCTGCACCAACCCCCAGCTGCTGGGGCTTGGAGGGGGAGGGAGGTGGGGGGGAG